CAGGGAAGGAATCATAAAGTGGTTGTTCACAGTGGGCGGAACTTCCTCGCCTGGACAGATAAATTCTCTGTGATCTGGCAGCAAAGCGGTGGGTTTTCAAATATGTCTTACTGTGGTGCTGGAATAATTGTGAAGTTGGGAAAATGGAGGTAATTCAGGCTATCCACTACAGTTGCATTTTAAGGAATAATTTTCTGATACTGAGTAATTTTTACCTCTTTTCTTCTAAGGAGAGCCAGTCTTTTGTCTCCAGGTCACTGATTCAAATTCCATTCTGGTCAGTAGTGAGTAGGATGAGCTACTATGCAACTTCTTCTGTTCAGTGACCGTGTGTCCTGGCAGGCTAAGTGACTTTGCTAAAGCCTGATGGGTAGTTCCCCATGCAGGCTGGACACTCGCTTTCCTTACCTTTCCCTGCGGCATGGGTGTTTTGTGTTTTGGTGGTAACACCTATAAGAACACTTGTTCTAGGGAGACTAGATTTTAAACATATCAGAAGCAAAGTTCTGCATGCATAAACACTGCAGCCTCGGGTACGAAACTGCAGCTCACTTTCCCGATTGAGCCACAGAAACAGCTGATGAGGCATGAGCTCTTGGTTGGGGTTTGCCATGGAATCCATCCTGCAGACTAATAAAGTATATAAAACTTGGTTAATAATGCCTCAAAATGTGGGCAGGAACCCTGGATTACTTAAGTGCTTACATTCCTTTTTCAAATGTTATTTGAAATTTTATAGTTGGCAATGTATTTAGAGGTATATTTGAAAATCTTGACATAGTGACACAATGCTTTAAAAATAATCTGTTATCTTGAGAACAAGTGACCGGATTTGTGCTTAGCTCCTAAATTAAGTCTATTTGTTCATGTAGTGCAAGAACAGTAACAAGGTGTTTCCTTTTCCTTCCTTTTCCTTGCCAGCTTCCTCCCTAAAGACCTACTGAGGAATCTCTTTTAGCCTCAGTTTGTTCGGCTGTAGGGTGGGAATAGCAATACTTCCTCCTAGGAAATACAATGTATCTAATATATAGCAGACAATAAGCACACTTATTCACAGTGTATCACCCGGTTTGGTGCTGTATCAGCCTTGCATATGAACGCTCCAGGGTGGAAGGTGTCCATCCAGAGGCTAAGAGCATTGTTTACAGTGTGCTCAGCTCACCTGTAGAGGAGGCAGAGCCCCGCAGGCCTCACGGATGAGTCCATGAAGGCTGCAGAGCTCAGTATTGTGAAGTCTTCACACACATGTATTTGCATCTGAACAGTTGTTGACTCTGGCTACCAGATGATTTGTTTTCAATTACTGGTGTGGGAAGAACAATTGTCACTGCACATTGGTGGGTCTTCTTCGGTGTGCTGAGGACATAGTCCTACTTGTGTAGAGACAGAGATCATATAATCTAGCTGGCAAAAGGCACAAACCTATAGCAGCTGCCCCACTTATGGGATTTTCTGTGTGCCATGCACTGATACTTTGCAAGGTAGATGGCATTCCCAAATCCTCACACCAACTCTGTGAGGAATAATATACTCCATTTTATGCATATCCTTCCAGGGGTTTTCAAGTTTGTTCCAAGTCCTACAATTAGAGAATGTTAGAGAATGTTAGAGAATGTTAGAGAATGTTGGATTTGGTCTCAGGTTTGTCTGACCCCAAAGCCCATATAAAGCTATGCATCCCTAACTATCACTTGCCTGTAAGAACAGTCTGAGAAGTGTGTGTAATATGAGATGCCCTTAGTTGTATGAATGCAGAGGATGATTGCATAGCAGTCTGCGTGGTATAACCTGTAGTACATGTAGCTTAAGTGTGGTGTGTGTGTGTGTGTGTGACTGTGTATCTTGTATGTGTGTGTCTTTGTGTGGGTGTGTGTGTGTGTGTGTCTGTGTGTGTGTGTGTGTGTGTGTCTGTGTGTGTATCTTGTATGTGTGTGTCTTTGTGTGTGTGTGTGTGTGTGACTGTGTATCTTGTATGTGTGTGTCTTTGTGTGTGTGTGTGTGTGACTGTGAATCTTGTATGTGTGTGTCTTTGTGTGTGTCTGTGTGCCTGTGTGTCTGTGTGTGTGTGTGTGTGTGTGTCTTGTATGTGTGTGTCTTTGTGTGTGTGTGTGTGTGTGTGTGTGTGTGTGTTGTGTGTGTGTGTCTGTGTGTGTGTGTGTGTGTGTGTGTGTGTGTGTGTATAATAGCCCATTGTTTTGGAGGCACAATTAACCAACATAAGAGAAAATAATGCAATCAAGAAAGAAAGTAAATATAGGGTGTAAAATGCCACTGTGGACACAAAAGCATATTCTTTACCATGACCCTTTTGTAATCAGGGTGCATACTGAACCCAGAGTGTAAAATGTCGTTTAGTGAAAACAGCGGCAGACTCACATAATCATGTATTGTATTCTGTGCAGTATGATTGTTTGCAATGTGCTGTACTTTTATGTGACTGAGAATACAGTAGGCTTCTTCACACTCATGTCACGTACATGAGAAATCCATTGAAGTAGCATACCCAGGGCATCATAGATGACACAGCAATTTTTCAGTCCCATGGTTTTGTGGGTACTCTGGTTCGAACGCAGTCCATCATCTAACCATATTTTTCTAACACTACCTGATAATAACACCACAGCACATTTTAGCATGATAAAATTCATGCTGTAGAAGGCATGTGTGGAATACTAAGATCGTGAAGAAGGGAAAGTGTTGATGGATGACTCTTTGCCGGGTGTGGCCAGCACAGCGAGGCACTGTGGCCAAGGCAAGAACACAGACTAGACAGAGTGACTTCAGGAAACATGGTGCCCTCTAAGAGTAGGGCTACATTGTTTCACTCCAAATAGACAGTGGTCTTCTGTTTGTCAGCTCTGTAGAATCAAGATAAGTGTTGTTGGAAAAGCTCTTGTGTTTGCTCACATCTTTTTTAGTTACTTAATGCTTGAACAGAGAGTCTTTGGCAATCAACTTACAGTAATTTGTAGCATTTGACAAACTAACCAGTAACACTTAGTAACTACACTGGGCTTTAGCAATATTTCTCCATCACAAGTGGCCTTGGAGCCTAGTGCAGTCCTTTTGGAAATGTGTTTGGAAATACTCAATAACCTAACAGGTTTTCCTATACTTACCTATAGTTTAACAACTGTGAACCTGTCCTAAAAATTCTTATCACTCCTCATCGATGCATGTTGGCAAGAATTAAAAGCCCAAATTATGTAGGAAAATCATTACTAACATTAAATGAAGTGCTCTGCAATGTTTTGCAAGTTCTTTTAAAGTGACACTCAAGAGGCTAAGGCACAGGAGGGGGAGAGAGACTGTGTGTGTGAGGGGGGGTGGGGGGGGGAAGAGGCAAGAAAGTATGTATGTATTTGTGTGTGTGGCCAGCTTGGCTCCACAGAGAGCTCACAGCAAGTGTGGGCTACATAGCAAGCCCCTGCCACAGAAGCAAGCAACTTACAAGGATAGTACTACACTGTCTAGAAATGGCTTCCAAATCTGGCCCTTGGGTATGATCATAACCACAAAAGGGTCTGAGTAACTGAGAGAAATAAAGGAATCTGTTAAGTAATCGTGATACTTGCTAGTACAGTGGGGATAGGGAAGGTTTGTTTTCCTTTTCTTATTTTTGTGGGTTCCCCATGTTTATATGGATTAGTCTGCATCACTTCAAAGAGAAGCAAATGAAACGATCAGTGCCTGCTACATACTTAGGGTTCCCAGAAGCAGAAGCTGAAGGTCTCAGAGCAACTCCACCCATCTGCTTCTTCACAGGGAGTCATTGATGGAAGGCACTAGGGAAAACCTACCCTCAAAGGCTCTCCTCACTGAATTATTGACTCACCTTTACCCCCTCCCAAGTGCTGTGTAGAGAAAGAAAAATTAACATCTTTGTTTAAAATGTCATATATTTATTTTAAATTGATGATCTTTGTCCTCAAAGTCCGAACTTCTTATATTTTCCCTCTTTTTTTACTGTTCAGAAATCCCATAAATGAGTTTTATAATAAGGATGAAAACCAGAGTGCAACCTTCAGCCATGTGTTCACCAATGATAACGATGACTGGTGGCTGGAACCATTTGTTTTATTATTTGGGAGATTGTTGTAAGACTGAAAACTTAATTATTTGGGGTAACATTTTTAAAACTGGTTTATTGTGCTAATATAAAGTGAGAAATACTGACAGTCGGAAGTGCAGTTTAATGAAGGAAATGCACATTTGGTGTTTGGTCTCAAGAATTTCTTGGCATTGGTACCAGGCATCTTGGCTGTTGGGAGATTGAGGCACAGTGAATTTCCTGCAAGTCTGGACAGCATAGTATCAGGCTAGCCCAGGCTAATCAGCAAGACCCTTTTAAAAAGGGGGGGGGGGAAATAACGTCGTTTGTATAGTGACACTGGATGAGTAACTACCGCGGCATACCTGCTTGTTTTTTTCTTAAAGACCTCTAAACAAGAACAGAAGAAAATGGATACATTTGACGGCGGCATAGCTGAAACTTCTTCCCGATACAGTGGCGCTCAGGACAGCGGCATCGGCAGTGACAGCGTCAAGATCCGGATTGTTCAGATCGAGCAGTGCAGCGGCGCCAGTCAGCACCGCCTTGCCCGCCCCTCACACCAGTCCTCGATTGTGAAAAATCTCAATTTCATTCCCTTCGACATCTTTATTACTGCAAGTAGGATCTCACTGATGACCTATTCCTTGCTGCCCATACCCAGATTCAAATTACCAGAGCAGAAGGAAGATGGGAAAACAGCCCAGAGTCCCTTAACCCCCCCAGAAGCCGATTCCGATGTGGCTAAGCCTACCCAGGCGTGCGTTTCCATGATGACTGCCGAAGATCTCTTCAGCCATTCTCTCTCTTCAGGGAAAAAACCAAGGGTTCTCTCCCTTGAAAGCCTCCACGCAGCCACCCGATCATCTGCCAGACAAGCCCTCGGCGTCACTGTTGTCCGGCAGCCTGGCCGAAGAGGAACCGGTGA